TTTAAAAAGAAACTTAATAAAAGGCGTTGAAGGACCTAAAAATGGGACATATAAAGACGAAAGAAAGCAAGAAAAAAATCAAAAAAAAATCAAAAAAAATCAAAAAATCAAAAAAATCAAAAAATCTGATTTTAGCTGTTTCCCGCTTGACACTCACCCACATCCACATCCACACTCATCCGCACCCACGCCCACGCACACCCACACCCTAGGGCTGATTCAACCAGGATCATGGTATAGAGCATTATACACGGTTGGAAAAAATATTATTCCAGGGGGGTAACGCTATAATTTCAAATAGAAGACATAATAAATTTTTTATCAAATGAAAGCTCGTTAAAAATGGGGTTTATTGGTATTAAATAGTGAGGGTTATGAAAACCTTTTAATGTCGAGCTTAATAAATTTTCAGAAATTTTATACTTTTTTTGGGATGGAAAATTAAAGTACTAGTGATTCAAGAATGGAGTAAAGTGTTTTTCTTGAATATTTTTACACGGTTCGATAGAGCTCGTCGAGCTCTATAAAACTGTATACATTAAAAAAATTTTAAGACACTTTTTTTGCGATAAAAAATTCAAAAAACTATTTGGAAAATCTTAGAAAACATGAAAAAAATTCATATTTTTCATGTGGAAGAACAACACTCACTTTTTCAATAAAAGTAGCTTTTTTCATTTTTTTTTACTCCGTCAGGCGTTTCGAAACATACTCATTAGACGCAGCTTTTCACACTGCATCGAACGAGTATATTTCGAGACGTCTGAGGTAGTAAAAACAACGAAAAAAGCTACTTTTATTGAAAAATTGAGCGTGTTTCTTCAATTTGAAAAAAAAAGAGTTTTTAAATGTTTTTGAGGTTTCCCGAGTAGTTTTTTGAACTTTTTATCTCAAAAAGATGCCTCAAAAAATTTTTAACATGCACAGTTTTGTAGAGCTCAACGAGGTCTATCAAACCATGTAAAAATATTCAAGAAAAAAATTGACTTCATTTTTGAATCAGTGGCACCTTGATTTTCCACCCCAAAAAAATATAAAATTTCTGAAAACTTCTTAAGTTTGACATTAGAAAGTTTTTACAAGCCTCACTATTTAGTATCAATAAACCCCATTTTTGACGAGCTTTCATTTGATATAAAATTCATTATGTCTTCTATTTGAAATTATAGCGTTACCCCCCTGGAATAATATTTTTTCCAACCGTGTAATATTGGTTGTGAAATGCTAATATTTTGTTGATACTGTGCAACGATGGCAAAAAATCAAGTAAAGTAGTGTTATAGTGCATAATTTTTCTGCCTTCGATTCACGCTATTTGGCGTCCTTCAAGCTGTTCGAACGATGAGTAATAGAACAAGCAAAACGACGATGATATTTTTACGCGTAAAAAAACCATATATCTCATTAAAATATCTTATTTAATGATAGAAGCAAAATGAGAATAATATTTTCATGAGAAAAAAAATCAGGTGTCCCATTAAAATATCTTAATTAATGATAGAACAAGCAAAACGACGATGATATTTTTATGAGGAAAAAACCAGGTATCTCATCAATATATCATCATAAATGATCGAACGAGCAAAAAGACGATAGTGCTTGTATAAAATAAGCAAGGTATCTCAAGCATATTTGATGATTAGTTATTTCACCGACACGGATGAAGGCACACAAGCCAAAGTTATATTAGTTATATATACAGAAGCAACGTCTTGTTTTCATCTCTAGTATAGAACAACGTCGATATATTAGTGTTATTCTGGTCATCAGCACACAAGACTTCGTATAATACAGAGAGCCAACGTATGTGTTTTGAAATTGCATTTTCTTCAGACAGCGTTTGTTATCGTCATTATTCAGTGAATTTTTCTATGCTTAAATAGTACCACAAAGCTTATATTAATTTTTTTCGTATCATAGTAATTTTTTTCCTGCCGGCAAAAATATTCCGAAATTCTGTATGAAATGAATAGTAAATATTAACTACTGTAAAGTAATGCTTGTCACAAAACGTCTGTAGCAGGAGTTGTTAATCAGCTTTGTAAGGTCCCATGTAGAAAAAAGACCGTTCAACATTCTGTTCTTTTACCATTTGAAGAAGTTTGACCTCGCTGAAAATTCTATATGATATTGTACAGATAAAAAGTGTTTCAAGAAATTTTCGTAAACGGATTTCTCTTCAACTGAATTTTGGCGAAGAATTTGCTCAGGATATTGCCCTCACAGCGAATAGTTCTATTCAGATAACAGCTGTTTTTATGATATCAACACAATTCGAGTCGGTAAGTTTTGAAAAAATCATATTTCTCCTAAAATGACTTTCCGGCTAGGATTATCCCGAAAATTCTCAAGTGAGAATGACGAAGTAGAATAATGAGCTCATTTGGTGCTTGTGTTATCCAATGTCCCATGATGAAGACAAAAATCATAAAAGATTCTTCAGTACAAGATAATGGGCACACAGTTCTGAAAAAAGGGTGATTTCGTTGAAATACCTCTAGCTCTAAAACTTTGATGTGCACTTTTCAGTCACAATACATGATCATAACTGTAAAATAGTTCGTTTTTCCTGTAGTTCCATAGCGCACTCATAGTACTAAAAAAGCTGTTAGCCCAATCTCTTGCGGGATTAAAACTGAAACATGATGGACCTATTGTTACAAATTAAATAGGCAACGTTTTCTTCCATTTCTTTACGATAGATTTCTAGCAGACCATTTATTTGATGCTTTAAACCTACAATTTCTCTGTTACGGTATGTGATGGTCTCTGAAGGTTCTCGGTCACAGTCTATGATAGTCTTTGGAAGTTCTCTGTCACAGTCTGTGATGGTCTGCGGAGGTCCTCTGTCACGGTCTGTTATGGTCTTTCGGGGTTCTTTGTCACGGTCTGTGATGGCCTCTGGAGGTTCTCTGTCGGGGCATGTGATGGGCTTCGAGGTTCTCTGTCACGGTCTGTTATGGGTATGAATTTTCTCTGTCACAGCTGTAGGGAGCGGGGGAATGGGTCCAAAATTTCTACCCTATGAACTTCAAAACTCCTTTCAGATCGTGTTTCACAAAATAATGATGCCTTAGCATAAATGATTTCCTAGCCTTTTGCTTGATATCTCTCTGAGTTTTTATGGTGTCAAACCCTAGCAACCAATTAAATGAACGTTTCGTTGAGCTTTGACAGCTGTACTCTGTGAGTGTACCTTAGAACTTTTTCATTAAAAAAGCTATAGTGTTAAATAAATGTGAGCTTTCGCGAGTTTTCGAAAGTATCTCTGTTTTTCACCGTATTTTTCCAGACACTGAAAAAATACAGGCAACTTGTCGTAGAATTTTTACTTGGAGCAAGCTATTGGTTTGTATTTATGCCAATAAACGATACTATATAAGGCTAGACGCATTCTGAAACGGTGCTACTTCGAATAGTTTAAGTGTTAATAGTAAGGAAAAGCATGCAGGATAATGACTAGTTTTTCTGAAAAATAAAGTTTCTAGGTAGAAATTTTTACATGCTGCTTTAGTATCAACGAAAAATACGAGTTAATATCAATGAAAACAGGTCGAAAGTGATTGCTGATAGACTTTTGCAGTATTACTATGATGAGTTTTTCCTTTTATATCTGCGTTGACCACTCTCTAAAAAAAAAGGAGTTTTACAGAACGGTACCCAACCGCGGATCCTTTTTGAAGTTCTGCAGATTGAACAGAACCCAAAAAAAGGTTCTGCACAAGATACAGAACCCTGAAAAAAGATCTGCGGTCGGGTACCGTTCTGTAAAACTCCTTGTTTTTAGAGAGCATTGCTGTAGCACTTAGTAGAGAATTCAGTGCTGAAAGTTTTTGGAGAAAATCCGTTTCGACACAATAAAAACTAATAGAGATATGTGTAGGCATCATATATGAGGCGTAACGGATTCCAGCATAAGGAAATATATAAACGGACAGAATGAAGAACAAGAGGTCCTGCTTGAAACTCGGACTGCACATGCCCTGTGATCCGAACAGATGTCCTAAGCTAATTAGACTAGAAGGGACATTTTAGTCTACGTTTAGCATCAGAGTGTACCGTCGTTGATGCCAACAATATGGAGGAAGTAACGATGACTTATTTATCCTGACTCATCTATTAATTTAAGAATATATGGAAAAAAAAACAAACAGGCCAAGAAATCTTCAGAGCGAGTATTATCATTAAACTAGTTTAACTTCTATGATTGTCTTAGGTATTGTTTGGCCATAAAGAGGAGTTACAAGCACTCACGAGGGTAGTACCCGAAGTGTCCCCTCGACTTCGAGCTCATATTTTGCCCACAAGTAAACCTCAATGTCAATAGCCAAAGCCTAAAAAAATTCGCGCCCATGGGCTGTTGAAGTCGACTTATGACCAATTCATTGGATTTTCAATTTCAGGCAAGACACTCATGGAAAAACCAAAAGATGGTATTTTGACCTGAAATTTTGCCCACGAAGAGATCTCATGATTATTAGAGTCTCCTCAAAGTTTCAGTCAAAGCGAATGCTTTATCCTTGAGATAATGGATGGTTAAAAAAATGATAATATACCGCAGAAAAGTCAGAAAATATTATTGTAAATTCTGTAATTATTTTGAGTTAGGGAAACACTAATGAGTTTGGTTGTGAATACAAGAGAATGAACCAATGTGAAAGTAGAGTTGAGCATGAGTGCGGCTGGTCGTTCGTTGGCGCCCCTCCGGGGCGCCTCTCACGACTAGCCGCTCATTTGAAGGTCAATTACAGTTATGGTTGAGAATAGATCGGTATGAAACCTAATATATGTTTTGGGACCACTTCATCAAGATTCTGTTAACGAAGAATTCCAGTCTAACGCAGTTTTTATAGCAAGTTCGAGAAAAAAAAACAAAAGTATTAAGTATAGTTCACAACAAAATCTGCTCTTATCGGAAATTTCTGTCGAGATTTCTTCCAATTTTTGTAAGACAAATATATCTATTGTCACTTTTGTTTCATATAGAATTTGAAACGAATATGGGGAAACTGGACGGTAAAGTTGCTCTTATTACTGGTGGATCGGAAGGAATCGGTCTTGCTACTGCTCAAGAATTTGTTGCTGAAGGTGCTTATGTCTTTATTACTGGACGTCGAAAAGAAGTTCTCGATGCAGCAGTCGAACAAATCGGTAAAAAACAGGTTACTGCTATTCAAGCTGATGCAGCTAAATTAGATGATATTGACCATGTCATGCAAGTGATTAAAAAAGAAAAAGGACAATTACATATTGTATTCGCAAATGCCGGTATATTAGGTTTTGCACCATTAGGATCAATTCCAGAAAAACTTTTTGATGATATATTTGATGTTAATGTTAAAGGTGTATTATTTACTGTTCAAAAAGCTTTACCTATCTTGGCTGATGGTGGTTCAATTATTCTTAATGGATCTATATGGGGGAGCAAAGGTACACAAGGAGCAAGTGTTTACAGTGCAACAAAAGCTGCTCTTCGATCGTTTGCTCGTTGTTGGACTGTAGATTTAAAAGATCGAAAAATCCGTGTTAATTGTCTTAGTCCAGGTGGCATAGATACTCCTATGTTAAGAACTGCCGGTGGTACAAAAGAAAGTTCAGAAAAAGTTATGAACTACCTCGCATCAATGTCTGTTATGAATCGTCTTGGTTACGCATCCGAGATTGGTAAAGCAGCTGTATTTCTCGCTTCAGATGATAGTTCATATGTAACTGGTATTGAACTTTTTGTTGATGGTGGTACAGCACAAATCTAAACTTTTTCTATTAAACATGAATTTCTTTAAAAATTGACTAACAAATTAACGTAACAAAAGACTGTTGCTTTTTCTTGTAGTATAGAAAATTTTTTCTTGATCAATATAATAAACTTTCTTGCTATTTCGATGCACTCGAATTTTACTTATTTAAAACATGAATGAATAACTTGAAAATTGAATTAAAGATGAATAAATGAGAGACAGAATATATGATCTAAAAACCGCATCAACTGAATTATTTATTCAATTTTCATGACGTTTTATTTCACTTGAAAAACATCAGGAATCATTAATGTCTTGACCTATTTTCGAAGACTAACTGATGGAAAAGTAATGTAGGAAAGAGCCAATTGTAGTATATTTAACAATATCATTTGCATATAGTTGAAAAAGGAAAACAAAATACTGAATAAATAGTATATGAGAAGATTCTGATGTGAATGATTATTGTTTTTTTGAATGCTTGTTTGTTTCACGTATAAATTATTAGCACAAACAGGTCAATTAAATTTTGAGAAGATATTTAAGTGTTGGTAATGAAATTATATGATCGATTAAATAAGTTCATCATGAAACTACAACAAAATATCAAATGATAATGATTAGAAAAGATGATTGTCATTTTTCCTGTATCTAATAAGAATATATTTAAGAAAGAATTCGCCAGACGAGACTCCTAAGCCGCCGCAGAAAAAAAATTATTTTTTCGCTTTTATTATCTCAAATGAAAGGTCTAATCAAACCATAGTTAAATCGAAAATATTAAGTCATTCGGTGTTGCCTATGAAAAATGCGAGCTGAAACAAGTATAAAGGGGTCATTTTGACCTCCAAAAATCGGTATTCTGAAGTTGTATTCTGTATTTTGACATTATCGCGCGATTGAATCGGTTGTTCGAGCTCGAGAACGACTCATTTGACAGAAAACAGTATAGGCTACAAATTCATCCGATCCAAGGGCCAGACATATAGGGTAATAAAAACGCCATAGGTCAAAAACGGTCCAAAACTTGAAAAATGGTCTTTTTCGATAGGAGAGTATTTAGTCTTCTTGGGTGTGGGTGTGTGTGGGTGGGTGTGTGGGTGTGAGTATGAGTCTTCTCTTAACCCCCACCCCACACCTCACACCCACACCCACCCCACACCCCACACCCACACCCACACCCACCCCACACCCCACACCCACACCCACACCCTACACTGAAAATTAACTTTACACACAATACTTCCTCATCGCTGACTGTCTGAATGGTGAAGATATACATATACATTCATTGATACATTGGCATTTTCGTGATGGTCGACGAAAAGGGAAAATGAGATGAAAATAGAGAGAAAATCAAAAGATGCAAAGTTGACGGATAGATAGAGCTGATCAAGGAGATATCCTAACATTTCGTAAAATCACATCAATAAAATCTAACAAATACAAGAAAAATAAAAAATACTGATATTAGAAGCACGTTTTTGTCGATTACTTATCGTGAGAATCATATGTTAAAGCACGTTGGATTCTTTCTTTCTCTAACAGAGACGTATTACATCGTTTGAAAATTTGTTTTCATTTTTTCCTTTTTTTTTTTATATATATAATTGTAGTGTGAGAAGTGAGTAGTCTTATCAAAGAATAAAAAGAATTTCATCAAATTTCAGTTTATTAGTTGATACTTCGTTGCTTTTTCATTCTTCAGTCGTAGTCACTTATAATAGAAGAAAAAAAAATGATGTCAAAATAAATATTGAGATGAAAAAGCAATCATAAACTTGATAACAACATCATGCTGTTTTTTTTCTTTCTTGCAATGGCGAATATAACAGCATTCATGAATTTATTCACATCATTCTAGATTCATATTTTCAATAAAATGATGAATTTCGAATTATTACCTAATGAAATTCTACTTGATTTCTTCGAATATTTATCCGCCATTCATCTTTTTTATGCTTTCTCTAGTCTTAATTCACGTTTTAATACATTACTTTATGAACAATTTCAAAGATTTCATCTCGATTTTCAACAAATATCAAAAAGTAAATTTAATGATATTTGTCAAAATTGTCTTCCATCTATTATCAATCAAAGTATTTCTCTTCATCTTTCAAATGATGATGATACTCCGCAACAAATTGAACTTTTTCTTTCTCATTATTCTCAATTTCATCGATTTATTCATTTACAATCCATGTCATTAACATATCTTCGATCTCAAGAAACACTCAATCAAATTATGCTGGAATGTGCTCAGCTTCCTTATCTAACACATCTAACTTTCACTTATTGTTTTATATCAATGAGTCAAAATGATGCAAATTGTTTTGTTAATCAAATATGGAGTCTGCCAAACCTAACCTATTGTTATTTGGATATATGTTTTGGTTCTGAAAGTTATTTTTCTAATCCAATAGTGATTTCTAGATCACTTAGATATTTAATTATTCAAGAAAGTGTTCGTTCCTCATTGACACTAATTCATTTATGTCAATATACACCTAATCTTCAGTATCTTTCAACCATTTTTGCTGTCGATCCACATCAATTAGGATTTTCATTTTCTTTTCTTCCAATTACTCGATTGAAAATTATATTCAATAATTCTATAAATATGTTTCGAGATCTTTTACAAAATATGCCTAATTTATATCACTTAACGTGGGAAGCATTGTTTATTTATATGAATGGTTATCAATGGGAAGAAATGATTAAGAAATATTTACTTAAACTAAAAATCTTTCGATTTAAAACGCAAATCACACCATTGAATAATGAAGATAGAGAGGTGCAAATCAATGAAATTGTTGATTCATTTCGAACTCGTTTTTGGATCGATGAACATCAATGGTTTGTTCGATGTCATTGGTATTCACCAGATGAACAATATCATCATGATTCGATTGATTTATTTACTTTACCATATACTTTTGACAACTTTCGTACTTCTGATAATTGTATTTTAGCAAAAACAACTTGTCCATATGATGATGAATATTTAATATGCAATCATGTGATTAGTTTACATTGCGGATTTTCAGATTTTAATGATTCAATTCTATCTCGTGTTCGTTTTCTCAATATTCAATATCTTTCTTTATCACTTCCTTTCAATAATCTATTTTTATCTGTTGTTTGTAAACTTGATCGATTAACGTCATTATCTGTGTGGATATATAATAATGATGCAATTGAACATATTCAAACTCAATTACAATTTTTACTTGCACGAGCATCTCGTCTTCATTCACTAAATCTGGATTCACGGTTTTCATCAATTTTACATGCACTATTAATAGAGAGTACGAGTAAATCAATTCGTCGATTGAATTTACAAGGATGTTTTTCTGGAAAGAATCAGCACTGTTTTGATGAAGAACAATGTATCCAACTGAGTCGTTTTCCGTTAGGTAAACAATGTGAAACACTGTTGATCGAAGTTAAAAATCGAAGAAATATTCTTGATCTTGTGAATAACATGCCTAATCTTCAAGCGTTAAACGTTCGATGCGCAGAGAATAATTGGACAGATGAAAATGATTCCGTATCATCAGGACATGATGAACTTGTGGAATGGTTACGCGAACAATTACCATCAACATCTATGATTACGAGAGATAAATATGATTATGATAAAATTCGATTATGGATTTGTTGAAATTTAAGCCAAATGAAGTCGAATTTCTAACTTACTAAGTACACTTAATATTTTGTCTATTCTTCGTTTTTCATACCATTTGAATATTCTTTGGACGGAAAGAATTCTATTCTAATTGATACTCAACTCGGTGGCGGACATTCCGCACTAAGTCATTCCGAACTCCTGTCATGTGTCGGGGTATTCGAAAATGATTTTTGTCGTAGATAGCCTTCATTACAAACACGCTGTTTTTATTGGATGTGGGCGTGGGTGGATGTGGGTGTGGCGGGGTGTGCAGGGTTGGAACCGGTCCGGCAAACCGGTACCGGACCGGTTGAAGAAATCAATCGGGCCGGTAAAGACCGGAATTTCACCGGTTGAAAGTTTTCAAAAATCTTCTTTGTTAACCCTGTTTTTGACCATAAAAACTAAGGTGTCACATGTTTTTTCTGTCAGAATACGTAAAAAAGTGCTCAAAACATATGTTATATTAATCGTTTTTTCTGAGGTTCTCTTTAAAAAGGTTCATTACAATGAGTGTCTTTTACCTGCGCCTTAAATTATTTCATATTTGGAGCCATTTTTTTCTAAAAATCGGTTTTCAAAAAAAGATTCGACATTTTTTAACCGGTTTTCACCGGAATTTCACCGGTTGGACATGTGATTCCAACCGGCCGGTAGGATTTTTCAACCGGCCGGACCGGACCGTTTTAATATTTCTCAACCGGTTCCACCCCTGGTGTGGGTGTGAGTCTTCTCTTAACCCCCACCCCACCCCACCCCACACCCACACCCACCCACACCCACACCCACACCCACACCCACACCCACACCCCACACCCTTGCAAGAAGAGATATAAATCAATTTAATAGTTTAATTCATTTAATAAGATTTATTAATAGACGCACACTTTCAACTGAAAACACTTGTAATATATTGGAACAATTTTTTTAATAATTCCAATAAGAATAGTTGCGTTTCGAAGAACTATTGAAAATAAAAAAGAAACTGAACAGTAAACATGACGAAAATGATTTGTAAGAAGTTCTAATTATGTTGTCTAACATATTTCTAGAATAAATTGTCGATTGATCATTTTAGTTATTTTGCTTTGATATATATATATATATACATGAGAGAAACGACAGCAAAACTGTTTCAGATGCTAGTTTTCATTTAGATTGATATGAAAAGATCTTTATATTGTAAGAAAAATGGGGAATGCAAAGTAGTATGTAAGTTGAATACTTTTGAAAAAAGTATAGAATAAATAGCAAAAAAATAGATTTATGAAAATCTTATTGAAATTGATATATCGTTTAAAATACTTGATTAGCAATTATATTGATCAACAGATTTTAATTCGATTACTTGATAGTCCTTCATGAAAAACCTTTAAATAAATTTGATTATACTTATAAACAAAATAATAAGCACGTGCAAATAGTATTCGTATTTTATGAATAAAAAATTTTTTCAATTAACAGTAGAATTTATTATTATATAATATATGCAAATAGAATATAACATGAAATTGAAAAACAAACTTTCTTTTGTATCAATCAACTCATTATGGTACAATAATATAACATTAACAATAAATTGCATACAAGAACATTATTATTTTTAGCGTTAATCTTATTCATCATCAATATTATTACCAATATGACCTTGTTGTTTTTTGATAACCCTTTTTCTTCATAATCAGCTTTTCGTCTTTCTAATTATAATTAATTATTGGAATTTGTTAATAAAATATGACCGACAATCAGAATAAAACCAATGAAAACTAAGGTAACATCTAAGAAATGAAGAATTTGTCCATTATTGAAGAAGTTCATATTGAATAAGAAAGTTGACGATATTCCCATTATAATAATTGATAATAGAATTGAACGATATAACATATAAAATAAATAGATATTATACAATGTTGATAAAATTATTGTTAATTTAACTAATTTCGATGATAAATCGTAATCGCTACACAGATTAATCTGTGGATAGACATTAAATTCAGGATATTCAACAATCAGTTGAGAACAATTTGATTTGACGTTTTCTAATATTTTCGATCGATTCTGCTTACGTAAATGTAAACGTAACATGGCCTCGTCGATTTGTTTCGAATGTCGATGAAATACTCCCAGAGAATAACTAGCTATTAGTCCTATGATCGTACCGATCATAACTAGGATAAAATATGAACTGATAGACAATTTTTTAAACATGAATATCTACAAAGAAAAACTATGATATAGATGAACTTTATATTGTCAGCAATCAGTTTAACATCGATCAATGAGAAGGATCTCATTTAAAAGAAAAAATAAGTCGAATATTCAACAAAAATAAAAAGAAAATTGAGTATGGCAAAAATACGAAGTCTTCATAATTATTTTCATTGAAAGGTATATAATCATAAATATGATTATTATTGTTATTCTTTGATAACCGGCTTTTAATTTTTAGATATTCATTTTTCAAATGTTCATAGAATTCATCAATAAATATCAACGAAGAATTGTACAAGATGATCTACAAGTATAGAAAAAATGTATCAATAGGTCTCCATGCATTAGATTTAAAATAGAGAAGCATAATATTAAAGGATGAGCATATGTCGTGTATTTCTAAGAACAGCTTGTCTTCTTTAAATTTCTTTTTTGTCACTACCTGTTCGTTTCTCTTTCATCAAAAGTATTTGCTTTTTATGTGAAAACTACATGGTTCCTTTCCTTTGATTGTTTTTCTCTCTCTCTCTTTCTCTCCTCTAAATGCAATCAATCAATGCAACTTCGAAAAAAAAAGACGACATATTGATACTCTATATATTATCATTATGAAATATAAGAGTACCGTTTATTCTGGACAAAAGATATGATCACGATAGAACAATAAATGCATATTACAATGAAACGACATTGCATCCAACGACTGAAAAAATATGGTTTACCATTAAGAAGAACAACAACTTTCTGCTTGTATTTCTTCCTATTGAGATTATGAAATGTTTAATTGCTCTGTTGTTGTTTATATGTGTAGATCCATCGTGATCATTTCTTTTTGTTTAAAGTGAACGAAACTCTTTTATTTCATGATGATAATATATAGAATATCAATATGTCGTCTTTTTACGGAGTTGCATCGATTAATTGCATTTAGAGAAGAGAAAGAGAAACGATCAAAAGAAAGGAATTATGTAGTTTTCACGCATAAGTACATACTTCTGATGAAAGAGAAACAAACAGAAAGTGACAAGTAAAAAAAATTCAAGGAATGCAAACCGCTCTTATCAATACACGATATATGTGTATCTCTGTTCCTATTGGCGGGAAGCTTATAAGCAGAGCTGCCCTGGCCGAGGGAGTGTCGGGAGTATAACACCTTCCCAATCGTCAAAAATTTTCGCTTTTTCCCGGCAAAATCCAAAAATCTTCTTGTTTCTGTTAGCAAAAATAATGGTACGTCCCCCCAAAATTCTCAACACTTGATATCCACACCCCAAAAATCTTCCCTCCCAATGTTGGTTGATTCGGGGCAGCCCTACTTATAAGCGAATTTAGAATAATGCTCATTATACAAAAGCTATCAAATTTAATGTTGATCCTATTAATTGAAGGATCGATTCATTATTTATGCGGTTTGTATAGAGTTAATAAGAGAATGTTACTCCATAAGTTACCCGCTAGTTTTAACGATTAACCGTACTATTCACGCAGTTTGGATAGGAGAAAAAAGTTGAACTTCGTATATTTGACATCAAAGATAAAAAATTTGATTCGTAATGATGAAAAATACATCCGATGAATTTATATTTGATTCTTTATAAACTTTTGTAAAGCGGAGTTTGTTTAATCAAATTGACAACAAAATAATTTCTCAACAACTTAGAACGAATAACAAATAATGTGCGATAATAGTCAAACTAAAAAGCGAATGGGTATCATATATGATTAGCAGTTGTAACTCGATACAATCCAAAGTAGAAGAAGGATGTGATGTCTTGAGAGAAGTAAAATATTTACTTTCTAATAGAACATTAGGAAAACTCTTCACTTTTCTAAAGATACTGGATTAGAGACAGAAAGTTAATCGTTCATGGATTGAGTCAACTCTAATGATTAGGTTTTTATTCAGAAACAAAAACAGAAGTTATCTCAAGTACAGAACTGAGAGGTTTTCCATAAATTCTTTAGAATTTTTGTAAAGCATCTAGATTACAAAGTATTCAGTCTGTGATACCGTTTGAAAGGTTTCAATTGTCTCCGCATATTTTAATTGGAAAGCTTTTGTTTTCTACAATCTCCAATCTAACTCATCAGTTAAATAAAATTTGAACAATGACAACATCAACATTTTAATATTGACTTCTATGTTTAAGTAGTGTGTTGTTCTTTAATTATCTATCTACCTCACTTCTGTTTATTAGTGATATTGTTGAACTTCATTTTTAAAATCTGAATCTCGAAATGGCACACGATTTTTCGAAGTATATTTGCTACAGTTTTTGTTCTAAATCAAGAGATTCCAAGCTCAATTTTTCATATGTTATGTAACTTTTAATTCTCTACAAAATCATAAAAAATTGAAAAAAAACACATGTTTGAACCGGAACGTGGTGAATATTGCTTGTAGTCGAATGAATTCTCTGGAAGAAAATAATCCTGCGCCCTTTTATATGTTATTCATAGATGAAAATTTTCTTGACTGACAACCCTAATGAAGGAATAGGCGAAATTTAGAAAAGTTTTTCTTTTCATATAATTGAATAACGATCATCTCATGTGATAGAGCTTAAGATTCTGATCACAACCATATGCTGGAAGTCTATTACAATTTATAATTTAATGAAATAGGATTGACCTCTTAATGTCATAGACTTGTCACATATAGCATGGGATTCTATCCCCGATTTGACTTTGTATATGACGAGATCAAGTTTAATGATAGACTTCCAGCATATGGTTATGATCGGAATCTTAAGCTCTATCACGTGAGATGATCATTATTCAATTATATGAAAAGAAAAACTTTTCTAAATTTCACCCATTCCTCTCTCAGGAGTATCAGACACAAAAATTTTCATTTATGAATGACATGTAAAATTGTACAGGATCGTTTTGCTTCAGAGAATTCACTCGACTACAAGCAATATTCAGTACTTTCCGATTAAAGCATACGTGTTTTTCTTTTAATTTTTTTTGTGATTTTGTAGAGAACCAAAAGTTACATAACATATGAAAAATTGAGCTTGGGATCTCTTGATTGAAAACATAAACTATAGCAAATATACTGCGAAAAATTAATTATCAAAAACTCATTCATTGTGTCAGCTTTAACGTTTGTTGGGTTATCTAGCCTAAATGAATTGATAATATGTAATATTTTAAATATCTCTTTTTTTCAGTTACTGATGGCCTATCTTTTGATATACTCTATAGGAGATTTGAATGATATGCTACAATGTAAAAAGGCATAATTTTTATATATAATTTTTTCTAGTTTTTTTCTCATGAACGTATGATAATACTAAAGGTCAGTATTGACTAACTTTTCGAAGGAAACGTATTGGAAGCTAAAATTTTCAGGTTGATAGTTTAAGACATTGACACCTCAAATGCATAAAAAAAAATTAAAAAAGACTTTATCAAGTGTTTCATATATTGAGGTGATGCTAGATCTACCTCATGGGTGCTCTCTTAAATAACAGTTGTAATGCAATACTACAATTGAGAAGAAAAGAATGAACTCAATTTGTGTTAGAACTGAGCGATAGATGCTTATTCTTATTTTAATTAAATTAAACAACGTATGAATATTAAGCAAGGCTAGGCAATGAATAGTATGATTATTTTCATGAAGGACCATTCAGAATGGTTGAATATCGTTTGCTACTCATATATCCTTCTTTTTGTAGATAAAAAAGAACTCATGATATATGTTCATTAAACTAGGATATTAATAAGAAGATGATTGAAATTGATAAATAAATATAAAACATACCTTAACCGACTTTCACATGTATGCGAGTAAATAGAGCAAGATTCGGAAATGAAGATCATGTGATTCAATAAATACATTTTGAATAAACATATTTGATTCATATGAATCATTAAAAAATTGCCGTAGATTACTAGACGAATCTCCATCAGTAGCATATGGTTCATTATCATCATCATCTTCTTCTTTATCTTCATTAATAAGTTCTTTATCAACTTGCTTAGTTAAATCAAGACTTGTTTTATGTTTATCATACATAATTTGAACACGTTCATGTTCTGGATCCGATCTTAATAATTCTTCCATATATTGATAAACAAATGTTTCACGTAGTGCATTAAGTGATGTACGTAAACCATAATCTTTAGATCTATCCCGATATTATTGTAAATGTGCAAATAACACTTGATGAACAAGACGAATTACACAATGTTCATGATGACTTAAATCTAGAGATAACAGAATAAGAAATAAACTATATTTTCAACAGGATAATATGAATCAATAAAAAAAAATAATAAATCTTTTTTTTTTATATTAGTCAGCAACTAAACGTCCAAATTATCATAAATGTGATGACGACATCTGCAATAACGTGGTAAACATTCTATAAATTTTCTATATTGATATTTTAATTTATCGCCATAACGAGCAAATACACATTGTCCAACTATCATCAGATAACCAGCTATAATGGATGTTGATTCGATGACGATAATGGTTCCTTGATCATTTAAAAAGTTTGTACCAAATAAAAATAAAGATGTAATGATCATTAAAATCACCGGCAAAAGTGGTGGTCCATACAGAGCGTATGGAAGAAATGAATCATATATTACAGATAATAAAATAGCAACTTTTTGCTAGAATAATTGAATTTTCCTGACTTTTACATAATTCGAGTTTAGGAAAATCTTCAAATTCTGGATATAATTTTAATAGTTGTGAGCTATTACTTTGAATATAAAAATATATATTTACTTTATCACCATTTAATTTCTTCATATTGACCACAGTTTTGTTTGTTTCTGTATTAATTCAATTAGTATTTCCAATTGCACAGCACGCTAAAAACCCAATGATTGAGTTCACTAGAACCAAAATAACATAAGTGAGACTTGATAATTCTTTAACCATTTTTATTTAAAAAGCTGTTAGCGCAATCCCTTGCGGGATTAAAAATGTGAAACACGATGGACCTATTGTTACTAATTAAATGGGCATCGTTTTGTTCCATTTCTTCAAGATTGATTTGTAGCTTACCGTTTATTTGATGTTTCAAAACTACAATTTCTCTGTCACGGTCTGTGATGGTTCCTGGAGTTCCTCTGTCACGGTCTTTGATGGCTATTGGTGTTTCTCTGTCACGGTCTGTGATGGGTATTAGGGTTTCTCTGTCACGGTCTGTGACGAGTCCGAAGGTTCTCTGTCATGGTCTGTGATGGGTACTAGGGTTTCTCTGCCATGGTCTGTGATGGGTACTAGGGTTTCTCTGTCACGGTCTGTGATGGATATTGGGGTTTCTCTGTGACGGGTATTTGGTTTCTCTGTCACGGTCTGTGATGGGTATGGAATTTCTCTGTCACGGTCTGTGGGGGAGTGCAAATTTC